CCTGCTGTGTCTCGTTCCCTGCAGTGTCTCGTTCCCTGCTGTGTCTCGTTCCCTGCAGTGTCTCGTTCCCTGCTGTCTCGTTCCCTGCAGTGTCTCGTTCCCTGCTGTGTCTCGTTCCCTGCAGTGTCTCGTTCCCTGCTGTGTCTCGTTCCCTGCTGTGTCTCGTTCCCTGCAGTGTCTCGTTCCCTGCTGTGTCTCGTTCCCTGCAGTGTCTCGTTCCCTGCTGTGTCTCGTTCCCTGCAGTGTCTCGTCTTGCCGTTTGCCCATGTCTCAAGGTTTTTTCCCCAGATTTGAGCCTTTGCCTTCTGCTCATCTGTCCTGCTTGGTATTTTGGATTTAGTTTATTCTTCCAGTGGTCGTCAAAGGCCAAAGGTCACCTCACTCACCCTCCGTTAGGTTTCCACAGTTACATGAAACAATCCCAGCTGATTCTTCTCAACATGACTCACTTCACCCAGGATTTAATCTGGGATTCATCAGATTTACTGATAATAAGTAGAAAAATAAAAAATAATTCTTTGTGTTAATTCTGACTTCCCTGCAGTGTCTCGTTCCCTGCTGTGTCTCGTTCCCTGATGTGTCTCGTTCCCTGCTGTGTGTCGTTCCCTGCAGTGTCTCGTTCCCTGCAGTGTCTCGTTCCCTGCTGTGTCTCGTTCCCTGCTGTGTCTCGTTCCCTGCTGTGTCTCGTTCCCTGCAGTGTCTCGTTCCCTGCAGTGCCTCGTTCCCTGCAGTGTCTCGTTCCCTGCAGTGTCTCGTTCCTGCTGTGTCTCGTTCCCTGCATTGTCTCGTTCCCTGCAGTGTCTCGTTCCCTGCTGTGTCTCGTTCCCTGCTGTGTCTCGTTTCCTGCAGTGTCTCGTTCCCTGCTGTGTCTCGTTCCCTGCTGTGTCTCGTTCCCTGCAGTGTCTCGTTCCCTGCTGTGTCTCGTTCCCTGCTGTGTCTCGTTCCCTGATGTGTCTCGTTCCCTGCTGTGTCTCGTTCCCTGCAGTGTCTCGTTCCCTGCAGTGTCTCGTTCCCTGCTGTGTCTTGTTCCCTGATGTGTCTCGTTCCCTGCTGTGTCTCGTTTCCTGCAGTGACTCGTTCCCTGCTGTGTCTCGGTCCCTGCTGTGTCTCGTTCCTGCAGTGTCTCGTTCCCTGCTGTGTCTCGTTCCCTGCAGTGTCTCGTTCCCTGCTGTGTCTCGTTCCCTGCAGTGTCTCGTTCCCTGCTGTGTCTCGTTCCCTGCAGTGTCTCGTTCCCTGCTGTGTCTCGTTCCCTGCTGTGTCTCGTTCCCTGCAGTGTCTCGTTCCCTGATGTGTCTCGTTCCCTGCATTGTCTCGTTCCCTGCTGTGTCTCGTTCCCTGATGTGTCTCGTTCCTGCTGTGTCTCGTTCCCTGCAGTGTCTCGTTCCCTGCTGTGTCTTGTTCCCTGATGTGTCTCGTTCCCTGCTGTGTCTCGTTTCCTGCAGTGTCTCGTTCCCTGCTGTGTCTCGGTCCCTGCTGTGTCTCGTTCCCTGCAGTGTCTCGTTCCCTGCTGTGTCTCGTTCCCTGCAGTGTCTCGTTCCCTGCTGTGTCTCGTTCCCTGCAGTGTCTCGTTCCCTGCTGTGTCTCGTTCCCTGCAGTGTCTCGTTCCCTGCTGTGTCTCGTTCCCTGCAGTGTCTCGTCTTGCCGTTTGCCCATGTCTCAAGGTTTTTTCCCCAGATTTGAGCCTTTGCCTTCTGCTCATCTGTCCTGCTTGGTATTTTGGATTTAGTTTATTCTTCCAGTGGTCGTCAAAGGCCAAAGGTCACCTCACTCACCCTCCGTTAGGTTTCCACAGTTACATGAAACAATCCCAGCTGATTCTTCTCAACATGACTCACTTCACCCAGGATTTAATCTGGGATTCAGCAGATTTACTGATAATAAGTAGAAAAATAAAAAATAATTCTTTGTGTTAATTCTGACTTCCTTTATGTTCCAGTGAAAAAACATGAATAATGATTCGTTATCACTGCTGTTCAGTGACAACAGCGCCATCTAGTGGAAGCTATTTCCTTCACTTATGTAAAGTCAAAACTGCCAGTAAAGACGAAGAGAAAAAATAATTGTGCAAGAAAATGTATTTCCTGTTTTTCAAGATAGAATGAAGGAGATCTCAGCAAAAAGAAAAATGAAACATAAAAGTTCACAAACATGAATATATTTCAAACAAGATAAAATCATTAAAAGCTGAGAAGAGTTTAACATAAATCTGCAAACAGCGTGAGAAGCAGAATCTCCTGATAAAAAGTCCGAAAAAATAAAACTGTCCAACCTGTCAGACAACATGCAGGTAGAAACACAAATTTAAACCTGGAGACAAGCAACAGGCAACAGGCAACAAGCAACAGGCAACAAGCAACAAGCAACAGGCAACAAGCAACAAGCAACAGGCAACAGGCAACAAGCAACAGGCAACAAGCAACAAGCAACAAGCAACAGGCAACAGGCAACAGGCAACAAGCAACAGGCAACAAGCAACAAGCAACAGGCAACAAGCAACAAGCAACAGGCAACAGGCAACAAGCAACAGGCAACAAGCAACAAGCAACAAGCAAACAGGCAACAGGCAACAAGCAACAGGCAACAAGCAACAGGCAACAGGCAACAAGCAACAGGCAACAGGCAACAAGCAACAGGCAACAAGCAACAAGCAACAGGCAACAAGCAACAGGCAACAAGCAACAGGCAACAAGCAACAGGCAACAAGCAACAAGCAACAGGCAACAAGCAACAAGCAACAAGCAACAGGCAACAGGCAACAGGCAACAAGCAACAGGCAACAAGCAACAAGCAACAGGCAACAGGCAACAAGCAACAGGCAACAGGCAACAAGCAACAGGCAACAAGCAACAGGCAACAAGCAACAGGCAACAAGCAACAGGCAACAAGCAACAAGCAACAGGCAACAAGCAACAAGCAACAGGCAACAAGCAACAGGCAACAAGCAACAAGCAACAGGCAACAAGCAACAAGCAACAGGCAACAAGCAACAAGCAACAGGCAACAAGCAACAGGCAACAAGCAACAAGCAACAGGCAACAAGCAACAAGCAACAGGCAACAAGCAACAAGCAACAGGCAACAAGCAACAAGCAAACAGGCAACAAGCAACAGGCAACAAGCAACATGTAAACATGAAGACTGAGGATATTTTCCCATGACTGAATCTCTGACACTTTCTCTTTCATGCAGGTTTGAACCAAAGCCAGAGCAGCTCAGCAACAAAAGCTTCAGTCAGCAAGCGAGAAAAACAAAGTCTGAAGTCCAACCCATTGTTCCCACAGCAGAACCAACTACTGTAAACAAGGACGTAAAACCAGGAACATAAACTTAAAACCACAGATTGGGAAACTAATTTCTTCAGCTGAAAACATTCAAGTCAGAACAATAAACTTAGAATCATCAAACATTCAAATCAGAGTTTTTGTTGGTTTTGCTTCAGCTCTGAGTTCTGATCCTGCAGCGAACCGGATCAGCTGACAGCTGGACTCCTGGCAAACTGACAGCTCTGAAAACAAACTGCAGAAACTGGAGTCCAACTTTGCACACAGAACATTTATCACAGCACCATATGTCACAGAAAGACACATTTATTGCTGAGTAAACTGCATGCAGATGCTCCTACCTGCAGACAGCCTGTTCTGCTGGAAGTGGAAAACAAACCGACAAACAGAAAGTTCTTTACTGGAACTGGATCAGAGGGTGGAGCTAAAAATATTTCCTCTATGGACGATCAGCCCAGCAGCAGAGCTGCTCTCACACTTAGATGCTCTCACACACATCTCAGTGTGTGAGACATTAGCTCTCCAGGTCCATTAAGACACAGAAAGAAAAACCTTCAATGCTGCTCTGGAAACACTCAAACTTCCCAGCAGCTGTGGACCAGATTTCTGCAGAGAAGCTTCTGGTTTCAAATTAAATAAAATGTTGATGTAACCATAAGATTTCTGAAGATTCATTGGCTATGGGTTTTAAATCTGTATATTTTCATATAAAGATGTGAATGCTTAAAGCCTTTCTGGTTATTTTAAGATTTTAAATATCAGAAAAGCAGAATGTTTAGTGAATAAACCTCAAAAACACCCAGAAGTGACAATAAAATGAACCCTGCAGTAATTTACACACACACACACTCACACACACTCACACACACACTCACACACACACTCACACACTCACACACACACACTCACACACTCACTCACACACACTCACACACACACACACACACTCACACACACACACTCACACACACACTCACACACTCACACACACACACACACACACACACACACTCACACACACACTCACACACACACACACACACTCACTCACACACACTCACACACACACTCACACACTCACACACACACACTCACACACACACTCACACACTCACACACTCACTCACACACATATACACACACACCACCCAGGATCCTAACAGCCTGATTTTCATCCTCCACACAGGAAAATATAAAATCTTCCAGTTGTTGGTCTGGTGACGACTGGCTTGAAGCACATCGAGGCGCTGAGTCCAGACTCTCTGGCAGAGAGGATGAAGTATGAATGAACATTAGTTTAAACATAAATGAAAGATTTGAAGTCAGATTTTAATTCCTGTCTGTGAAAAAATAAATTTTTCATACAAAATAAAACAATTTATTTAAATCGTTTTTTAAACTAGACTGTGATTTGTTGATCATCTTGGAGAAGAAATATTACACATGTTAATATTAGAGTTCACCACACAAATAATCCTCAAAAACAAAAAAAACAAAGAATCTGCATGAACACTAAACGGCACATAAAGGTAAAGTTTTCTAAAAATGACTCAAGTAAACATATTTAATAAAATGCAACTTATCTCTGCATGTAATGAATGACCAGAAAGCATTCAGTGATGACTTGCATGGTTGGTTTATAAATGTGATGAAGTTTGTTTCTCCACCCTGACAGTCTGAGAGGTCAAAGTCTAACAGGAAGTGAACTGCAACAGGAAGTCTGAGCTGCTGCCAACGACTGCTTCTCTCTCAATATGTTCAGATTTTGAAACTGAAGGATTCACATGTTGATGGAATGAAAATCATCCGGTGAGTAAATCATCTGATTTTGTTCTCACTCAGAGTTGAGAAAATCAACAAAAACCTTTTTGTCCTTTTTGTTTCATTAACAGTCAGAAATCTTCAGCTTCAGTTCAGTTTCCAGTCATTTTGTCATTTTAAAGCTTATGTGGGAATATTTTCTGCAGACGTGAGGCACGAGCGTGTCAGACAGGAACCAGAGCACACTGCCTCAAATGTGAATTGAAACGTGTCTGAGTTAAACTAAATAATTAACTTTTCATGTAAACCTTATTGCTTAGAGAAAACTCAATGATGTTTCATAAAAGTGGAACATGTCAGAGAAAAGTTTAGCTATAATGGAACAAACAGAAGTAATGTGCAGATGGAGAGCTTTACTGTTAAACTCTGCAACTTATTAGATCATCACACAACATGAACAGCTGAATGAATGACTGAATTTCCTCCATAGTGTCTCACCAGGTTCTGCAGATAATGAGACGTTAAACGGATTCAGGGATTCAGAACCAGAGGAACATCTGAACCAGAGACACTCTGGTTCAGAGTCCCGGGTAACAGAACTGGGAGAGCAGCCTCTCGTAGAACCAGGCCCTCCATCCGAACCACTTACCCCAGCCATGGCTCCACAATCCCGGGTAGCAGAGGACCGGGATTGTGGAGTCCTGGATTTAGATGCATCCCGTCTCCAAACTGATCCAATGAAAGTGTCATTAGAGACTGACTGCTGGATGCAGCCTGATGAGGGTCAGTGTCAGATATTAGCTCTACAGGCTGGACTTTGGCATCCTGGCCTAAAGAAGAAGTTCCCAGAGTGGGGTGGAAACCCCAGGGGGTCCAGAGATATTTCTGAATTTAGAATCATAGTGATGTGACCCCGAGGAATATGTGGCCCAAAGGGACAAAACGAAAAACTATAACATAAATAAATAAATAAATAAATGTAGTGCTACATTTATTTACGTAGTGGTAACATATTGATCGTATTGCCACTACTGCATTTACTAGTAACCACCACTAGTAAATAATGCTAATATGCACTGCATCAAATAATGTGGCTTTTAATCATTGATAAAATAAATAAGTTTTTAAAAAATATATAAATTTATTCTATGTATTTGTTCTTAAGTAAATATTAGGAAATGATCAAATGTATTTCTGGGGGTTGCCAGTTTGGTGGCCCCGGGTCTGAAACATGCAGGTTCTGGTTCTGCAGGGGATCAACCAGATCTAAAGTTTACTGAACACTTTGATTAAGCAGAACATGAGGAGTAAGTTTGTATTTTTTAATGTTAATATGAAACAATATTCAGCAGTGATGCCTGATTTAGTATTATTCTAGTTTATTAAAGCAGGAAAGTGTAAATGAAGGCTGTCATAATGAGAATGTTTTTTATACCAGGCTTTAATTAACAATGTTCTCAGTAATGAAGAGAAAAGAAGGCAGTGAAACATTCTGACATGATTTCTTCATTTGTTGCTACATCAAGCCGACTTCCTGTATAATTGTAAAACAGAAACTGTGGGTTCTGTTCATCTGGTTCTATAACATTCTGTAATGTGGAGAACAGAAGCAGCTACTGAGCTTTACTGTACACCTTTGGATATTTTATCACTGTACAATATTTGAATGCTTTCTTGTTTTATTTGCAGTTTTAGGAGGTTAAGACTAATAGTTTTCTTTCCTAAAACAGAGCAGAGTGGAGAAAGACCTGCAGACATGGAACACGACAAACTAATGGACATCATTAAACAAAATCTTAAAGCCAATCTTCAGAAAAAAATGAGCTGGACATACGAGGGAACTTCAGAGAGTCGGACCAAACTCCAGGATGTTTACACAAAGCTCTTCATTGTGCAACAGGCTGACCAACAAGGCTGCATCCAACATGAGATTCTGCATCACTTCAAGCTCCCTGATGACAAGTCACCATATATGGAGTCAGACTATGAGCAGATCAACAGTCTGGACATTTTTAAACCAGGAAAAAGGCGTTTCCAACAACCATCAACACAATGTAAAGAAATCCAAAGAGTGATGACAAAAGGCATTGCTGGTATCGGGAAAACCTTTGCCGTCCAAAACTTTTCTCTAAACTGGGCAGAGGGCAAATCCAATCAGCACATTGATTTAATCTTCGTCCTCCCCTTCAGAGAGCTGAACATGATTAAAGATGGGGAACACAGTCTGCTGCAGCTCCTCCTTTACTTCTATCCTGAGCTCAAACCACTCAAAGATGCAAAACAGCTAATTAACGAGAAAATTCTGTTCATCCTTGATGGCCTGGATGAAAACCGATATCCACTGGACTTTAAAGAAGCCATGAGTACGAGTGATATCAATCAGAAAACAAGACTTGATGTGCTGCTGATCAACCTGATCAGAGGCAGTTTACTGCATGATGCTTTGCTGTGGATTACATCCAGACCTGCTGCAGCCTCCCAGATTCCCTGGAAATACATTGACCAGGTGACAGAAGTGCAGGGATTCACAGACCAAGAAAAGAACAACTACTTCCGAAAGAGACTGAGTTCTGTCCAGAAGGCTGAAGAACTGCTGTCGGCTCTCAGAGGGATGATAAGCTTCCACTTAATGGGACATATCCCTGTCTTCTGTTGGATTATTGCTGAGGTATTTAAGAAGGGATGGAGTGACCGAAGAATCACCACAATGACTGAGTTGTACATCTATTACATCCTGATCCAAACCAAAAGAACAACACAGAAATATGAGTCAAAGAGTTCCAGGAAAGAATCCCAAAAGAGAGTTTCAAATCTTCATAGCACTGGTTTACTGTTGAAACTATCCAAACTGGCCTTTGAGCAGCTTCATAAAGGAAACATCATTTTATGAGGAAGACCTCACAGAGTGTGGCATTGATGCTGATGACGCTTCTTTGTTTTGTGGGCTTTGCTCAGAAATCCTGAAGCAGGAATTTGGTCTGTACCAGAAGAAGATGTTCAGTTTTGTGCATTTGAGCTTTCAGGAGTTTCTATCTGCTTTTTACGTGTTGCACTGCTGCAAGACGAACAACCTTCATCCTCTGAGGTCCTTCCTGGGAGTTGACCCTGCAGATACGAGCTTCCTGGAGCTGCAGAAAAAGGTGGTAGATAAAGCCTTGCAGAGTGAGAAGGGTCAGTTAGACCTGTTTCTCTGTTTCTTCCTTGGACTCTCACTGAGGTCAAATCAAGAAATGATCCAAAGTTTGCTTCCCCAGACGGAGAGAAGCTCGGACACTACTGACAGTTTAAAAGCTTATATAAGGAATTTTCATGCCGATAACATCCCGACAGAGAGGTGCATTAATCTTTTCCTTTGCAAGTTTGAGCTCAAAGAAAGAGAATTTCAGGATGACGTTGGGAAGTACCTGAAATTAGGAGTGAGGCTGTCAACCATTGACTGCTCAGTGCTGTCAACCCTGCTGCAGATGTCTGGTGAAGTGATTGAAGAGCTCGATCTGACCAGATGCTGCATATTGGATTCTGGGACTGAGAAGCTTCTCCAGCTAGTAGGAAACTGCAGGAAAGCCGTGTGAGTATCAACAGATAGATTCAATCAAAGGACATGAACACAACAAGAATTCATGTATAATTATTGCACTAAACTTGGTATAAACTCTCGTTCATAATGCCTGTTTCTGGTTATGAGTTTTATTAATCCCATTATTTGTTGTGTATAAATCCCACAGACTCAAGAGCAGACATGTGCAAGACTTTAACCTCCACATACTGCTGTCCGTTCTTCAGTCAGAAGAGTCAAGCTTACAGGAACTGTGTCTGCATGGAACTCATACCATACAGACGCCGCTTCCTTTTGAGCTCTTTGTGGTGCTGGAGAGCCCTGTGTGCAAACTGCAGACCCTCAGGTCAGTCCTACGAACTGTTTAGTCTGATTTCAATGATTTAATTCATTTAGTATTAATTATTCATTAATATTCATTAAGTATGAATTACTTACAGGGTTTGTTTTCTCACAGATTGTCTGGTTTCTCGCTGGACTTCATGAGGCGTCGCCAACTTGCCACCGTGCTTCAGGTCGAACAATCCAACTTGACAACTTTGGACCTGACAAACTGTACTTACAGTTATGTTAAGAATTACTCTGGAAATTTGTCAGAACATGAGAAGAAGGAAAAATATGAAGATTTTATTGACGAACCATTGACTCTGATTTCCACTGGATTGATTGGGCCTCTCTGTAAACTGAAGGACTTTGGGTAACCTGAAGATCATGGAAGAGGTATTTATCTCCTGTTAACATTATGCTCACATATTTCCTCTGATTGCAGGATGAAGAGCTGTAATCTGAGAAGTGGATGCTGTCAGGTGTTTGCCGCGGCTCTCAGGTCCAACACCCAGCTGAGAAAACTGGATCTGAGTAACAACCAGATCCAGGATCTGGGAGTGCAGCTGCTCTCCGGTGGACTGGGTGATTCAAACTGTCGGTTGGAGTCTCTCAGGTGATCATTCCTCTTTACTCATCACAAAGAACAGAACACATTTTATCTTTGTGGTGTAATTCCCCATTGCTCAGGCTGCCAGGACATGGAAGATTTCTTGATCACACAGCAGCTGTTGGTCGTTGATGTTTGCAGAGACGTTTAGAAAAGGCAAACCTGGAGCTTCTGTTTCGATAGATTCAAAGAAACCCAACACAATGGTTTGTTTCACTTCCTGAATATAAAACCTGGAAACCTGCGAATATTCAGACATGTTTGGTCTGAGACAATAAAGTAGATATGGATGATAAGGGCAGTTGCCCAGGGCGGTATCACAAAGAGGTGGGAGACTTCCAGGGTGTTCTAATTGTTATATTAATCAGTTATTACATTTTGTTATATGTATAAAACACTTACTGCACTATGCATTGCAGTATGGAGTAGCATATAAACTACAGGTAAAAATATAGTACATAGCAACACATTTATCCATAATAAACATAGATGATCTATGCTTAAATTGCAATATATTAGAAAATATAAATAATAAATCTCATAAAATCATTGCTTAATATATTACACTGTAATTTGCCATATAATATATTGTATTATATTTCTTCAGAAGGGTTTTGGGGACTTGCTGCAGCAGTCTCAGGCAGGAAGGACATTTTATTGCTCATTTTATCCTCAGAGTTTCTCACATAGGCAGAGATTTAATCTCGTTTTGTGTTTGGGATTTCCTCTCTGCAGGTTGTCATGCTGTGGGATCTCACAGGAAGGATGTGCCTCTTTGGCCTCGGCTCTGAAGTCCAACCCTCTCTGTCTAACAGAGCTGGACGTGAGCTACAACCATCCGGGACAGCTTGGAGTCAAGATGCCTGGAGAGACTGGAGGACCCGAAATGCAGACTGGAGAAACTCAAGTCAGTCCTTTAACAGAAATGTTTATTAGAGCTTCACATTTTCTGTGGAATAATCCTTTTATCTGTCTACCTCTGAAATACAGTCTTCCATTTCACTCACTGACAAAGAAGAAATCTTTAAATTCAGTTGGGAATCAGTGATGATTGTTTAAATAAGGTTAGCACTTTATACTCTTTATACTGATAGAGTCATGAATGGAACAATATACCATAAGCTGTTGTAGGAATGTCTAAAATTCAACCAAATCAAAGACTGAAGGTCATGCTACATAGATGGCTAAATTAATACAGTTTATTCCAGTCTTAATATAGTTTAATGGAGTCTGGTTGCACACTAGACTATGAAATGCTACATAAGTCAAAGCTAAAGCAGAACTGCAGCTGCAGCAGTGATGTGTTGGCCAGTGTCCTACTGTACATCTCCAGATGGCTAAATCATAATAATGACCTCAGAGCACTTAGCTCAAACATCACTGAAAAGCTTGATGACAGCATGATGGGACTTTCTCAAAATGACAGATTCCCCACTAACCTCTGCAGTCAAGCACCATCTGCAGAAACTGACATTTTACAATAGAATATAATTCACAACTTCCTCTTTTGAGTTTTTCCTCTTGCTCTTGTCTTGTCAGTGTGGAGCATAATGAAGAGTACTGGATCAACCCACAGCTTCTGAACAAATGTAAGGCTTATTGTGCTCAATAAAATGTTGCTGTTTGTCTCTGTAACTGGTTATTTCTTTTTCAGACGCCTGCGATTTGACCTTTGACATCAATACTGCCAATAAATACCTGATCCTGTCTGAGAGTAACAGAACAGTTCGTTTGACGGAGGAAAAGCAGAAGTATCCTGATCACCAGAAAGGTTTAAATATGAGGGTCAGGTGATGTGCAGAGAAGCTCTGACTGGACGCCATTACTGGGAGGTGGAGGGAACTTCAGTCAAAAACCTGGGCGTTGCCTTTCAGGAGGTTAAGAGGAAAGGATGCAACTTTCAGATGGACTGGAGCAATAAGACGTGGATGTTGCATAACTATTTACTGCATGGCTTCACGTTTCGCCACGGACATCAGGAGGTCTACGTTCCGATCACATTTATTGATGACCAAGGATTCGTGGCCCGACCCCGACCCATGAGAGTTGGACTGTTTCTGGACTGGCCAGCTGGGATTCTGTGTTTTTACTGGCTGTCTGGTGACACAAGAACTCTGCTTCACACCTTCCACTCAACGTTCACGGAGCCTGTTTACCCAGCGTTCACTGTTCAGGCCTTTTCTTTGACTCTGCTGCCTGCTGACAAACTGGAAACAGAACATGTGAGTGATTCTTGTTACTGAACCTGAACTGCAGCCGAGCAGCTGAGAAGTTTCTTCACTTCGACATTCTTGTGTTCAAGGTTCCTGTGAGCTTCACACCTGAGGTGAGCAGAGAGAGGATCGGCGTCTCTTACAGGTGAGACAACCACTTCATAAGGTTTCCTTATGTTAGATCTTTTACCAAATTTTGATTTGGTAATCAAAGATGTTTTTGACCCAAAGCTCATTTTAAGTGCTGTAACAGCAGCCGATGCTGTGATCAGGTCAGAAGGAGTCCAGGGTTATTAATACTGGCTTTGGTTTTTTTAGCTCCCATAAATGAGATTTTACCTCCAAATGAATGAGATTGTTTTCTGGTCTGACATGCATGTCTGTTAAACCTTCAGGCATGTTAGATTTAACATGAATGTCTGGAACCAGGCGTCTTCCTAACCCTAACCCTGACCCAGATGGTGTTGAAGGCTGAGCTGAAGTCGACACACAGGATTGTGACCTTCGACCCCGGACGGTGCAGGATGAAACACATTGTCAGGTTGACTGCATCACTTACCAACCAATCAGAGGGGTCTAGCAGAGGGTCTGTCATGGATCCTTCATGAGGGATTTAAACATGGAGGTGTCAGCTGTTCCCTCAACACTTGGACTCCTCGCCTGCAGAGCGAGACCCGACCCAGAACTCACAGAGAATCGTCTCGCTGGTTTATTGGAGAAGATTTTCCTGGATTCTAAGAGCCAATGTCTGAATGCCCCATCCTGAACCAGCTGATCCAGGTTTAGAGACTTCATCAAGTTTTACAAGGCAACCTGTGAAAACTCACCATAAATGTGTGAACCATCCACTAAGACAGTTTTACTCCTTTTGAAGAACATGAGATTACAGAGACACAATGACTAAATGTTCACTGCTTCTTTGATTAGTTACCAGGTCAGAAACCATTTAATCAGTTGGAGAAATAATTCAACTGATTAAATTGAATCATCTTAATCTAACCTTTCTTTCCTTAATGCTGACGCTGAATCTAGTTAACATAGTTGATGTTTTGGATGAAGGAAACATCAGGAAATGTTCTGTTCCTTGGAGTTGATGGATGGATCTTTTTCAGCTTCCAGTTTCCTGGTTCAGGTCTGTTCCGATGTTCTCTGACTGGTCTGGTGTTCGGAGTGACCCGGGAGGCGAAGCTGACCTACAAGACTCAAATCTGGGATGAGAAGCTGCTTCAGACAGCGAACAAACTGCCAGGCGGACCTTTGTTCAGCATCGAATGTCGTCAGGACTGTATCAGAGAGCTGCAGCTGCCACACTGTCAGCCTGAAGCAGGTAAACCTCTGGTTCCTCTGGTTCCTCTGGTTCCTATGGTTCCTCTGGTTCCTATGGTTCCTCTGGTTCCTCCAGTTCCTCCGGTTCCTCTGGTTCCTCTGGTTCCTCCAGTTCCTCCGGTTCCTACGATTCCCCCGGTTCCTCTGGTTCCTCCAGTTCCTCCAGTTCCTCCAGTTCCTCCGGTTCCTACGATTCCCCGGTTCCTCTGGTTCCTCTGGTTCCTATGGTTCCTCTGGTTCCTATGGTTCCTCTGGTTCCTCCAGTTCCTCCGGTTCCTCTGGTTCCTCTGGTTCCTCCAGTTCCTCCGGTTCCTACGATTCCCCGGTTCCTCCAGTTCCTCCAGTTCCTCCAGTTCCTCGGTTCCTACGATTCCCCGGTTCCTCTGGTTCCTCCAGTTCCTCCAGTTCCTCCGGTTCCTACGATTCCCCCGGTTCCTCTGGTTCCTCTGGTTCCTATGGTTCCTCTGGTTCCTATGGTTCCTCCAGTTCCTCCGGTTCCTACGATTCCCCCGGTTCCTCCAGTTCCTCTGGTTCCTACGATTCCCCCAGTTCCTGGTTCCTCTGGTTCCTATGGTTCCTCTGGTTCCTATGGTTCCTATGGTTCCTCCAGTTCCTCCGGTTCCTACGATTCCCCCGGTTCCTCCAGTTCCTCCAGTTCCTCCAGTTCCTCCGGTTCCTACGATTCCCCCGGTTCCTCTGGTTCCTCCAGTTCCTCCAGTTCCTCCGGTTCCTACGATTCCCCCGGTTCCTCTGGTTCCTCTGGTTCCTATGGTTCCTCTGGTTCCTATGGTTCCTCCAGTTCCTCCGGTTCCTACGATTCCCCGGTTCCTCCAGTTCCTCTGGTTCCTACGATTCCCCCAGTTCCTCTGGTTCCTCTGGTTCCTATGGTTCCTCTGGTTCCTATGGTTCCTATGGTTCCTCCAGTTCCTCCGGTTCCTACGATTCCCCCGGTTCCCCGGTTCCTCCGGTTCCTCTCTAATGGACCTGTGCTTCCCCCCAGCCCTGCTGCCTGCCTGCCTCTCGGTCGGCCACATCACTGATGATGGGATGAGCGTCGTTCCGTCACTGAGGGTCACAGAAACCCACGTGGTGGTGAGCGTCTCGCAGCTTTCTGGCTTCGGCGTCGTGTTGGACCGGATCAAGAGGTTCCTGACCAAGCCGATTCGGGGCCAAGTTCTGCTGTTCCTGAGACGGCTGCAGCGACCGCTCAGCATCCTCAGTGTGATTCTGCTGCCCAGCAACGTTCCTCTGCAGGATGTGAATCTTTAACCCGATGTTTTAAAGAGGATGAACTGATCAGGTTGTTTCTTTTAAAACTAACAAATGGTTCTGACTTGAAGGTGAAAGAGCAGCACAACGGCTCCAAGTTCATCCAGGCTCCATCCTTCTGCTCCTTCCACAAAGGGAAAACCTACCGCCTCCACAGCGACCCGGCGGGCCTCGCCATCCAACCCAAAGTCAGTTTCAGAGCCGCCGTCTGCTCACTGGGAGCTGAAATACACCCAGTAAGACGCCCGTCTTCTTGCAGGCGGCTCAGTTCTTTGAGAACTACGGACCAAATTACCACGCCACGTTTGAGATCACGCTGCCGACGAGAACGGAGGACGTGACGGTGACGGTCCAGAGTCCGGAAGAGGAAAACGTCTGGGACTACGCCCTGCACCTGCCAGGTACGCAAACCATCTGCCAGCTTAATGGAGAGACTTCCTGCTGTTAGCTTCAGCTGCCTGCAGGAGAAACGGGACGAAAGGATCTGGATTTATCTTAATAACTCAGTTTCATGCATGTTAGCTGTTTGTTGGTGCTGATTAATCAAGTGATACTTCAGACAAAAGAAATGAGAAAAAGAAAATCCAGCTGCTACTGTTTGATTTCACAGAAAGTCTGCCCCCTGCTGGACTTTACCTGGCTTTGCAGGATAATCATGTCATCATTTATTCTGGATCTTTGTTTGAATTCTGACAACAAATGTTTTTATCTAAGCAGCATCATGAATAAATATGATTGATTCCACAGTGAAAACATGTTAGAAATGCTTTTAAAAGAGAAAATGGGATTTTTATTCTGAGGAGCATTTTATTTTGAAAGGCCAGCAAACTCCCCTGACCAGAACCTCATCGGGTCTGTGGAGAATTAGAGGAAGATGAGACAAAGTAACCAACGATGAAGATGAGCTGAAGGTTCTGCCAGAACACACTGGGTTTCCAGAACCTCAGCAGAACCTGAGGCTGGTGTCCGTGTCATGCTGCACTGATGCAGGAAGGAAAAGGAGCCCAGACCTAGAAATGTTAACAGCTGATGTTTATGTTAAAGATATTATATTTCATTGATCTGATGTAATATTCTGATGTTCTGAAACATTTCATTTTGGGTTTTCATTCTCTGTAATCAACAACATTGAAGATGGGAAAGATTCACTCTGAGTGTAATAGATCTACGTAACAGATCCGTTTTACTCTCTGAACTGAGGGACAGAAAACTCAGAACTTTTTCATCACATTCTGATGTTTAGAGATGAAGACATATTATATTATATTCCACTGGAAAATCACAGTTGGACATTTGGATGATTCCAGGTGATTCCAGATTATTACAGATTATTCCAGATGTTTCTGGATGATTCCAGATGTTTCTGGATGATTCTAGATGTTTCTGCTTCCTGTCGTCTCGTTTCTGTCTGCAGCCTCTCTGGACCAGCAGACCAAAGGCGACTGCGGCTTGCAGAAAGTTTGTCAGCGGGGGAGAAGCTGAGAAGCGTCCGGCCGGACTTCATCGATCACGTGTCCAACCCGGTTCTGGACAAGCTGCTGGACGAGCTGCAGCACTGCAGGGTGATATCAGACGCTGAGGCGGACCAGATCAGAACCAAACCAGAGCAGAAAAAGCCCGAGAGATGATTGACACGGTGAGGAAGAAAGGAGCAGAGGCCAGCTCCAGAATGACCTCTGCCCTCTGCGCCAACGACCCGTATCTGAGCAGCGAACTGGGCTTACTGTGACGGACAGAACCAGACAGAACCGGACAGAACCAGGAAGAACCAGGAAGAACCGGACAGAACCAGGAAGAACCGGACAGAACCAGACAGAACCAGACAGAACCGGACAGAACTGGACATTGAAACAATGATTTTATTCCCGCATGTTGATTTTGCGTTCTGAGAGTATTTTAGTGATTCTTCGTGTTTCGTGTTGCACTGTGTGACGAATCAGACGATCAGCAGCAGAAAAACCAGAAGATGATCAAATAAATGCTGATGATTTTGCTGCTTCCTTCAACAGATGATTTAATGACAGGTGATCAACAATAGAGCTTTAATACAAATCGTTAAAGAACTGAAAGCAAAACATAAAAGTTCAACATTAATACCATTTCTGGTCCATCCAGGATCTGATCTCAGCAGGTTGAAACTTTCTGCGTAGAGAACAAGAAGATGACAAAATGAACATTATTTTTATTGAAGGTTAATATCAATTCAATCACCTCAACTTTAATACTTCACTTTTTAGTTGTACTTACATTAATACATTATAATAAATGTCAAAAACATTCACCAGATCGACAGAGAATCTGGAGAAACTCAGAACAGAAAATAATGGACATATTGATAAACCTGATCAGCTGCTGCCTGCAGTTCTCCTCCTGTCCACCAGAGGGAGGTAGAGACCAATCTAATGTCTAAGAAGCAGCATGAGAAATAAAACATATTAAAATCATTTATTTGAGTTTAAACGCCAACAGAACTGTATTAATCTGTGTGAAGATGAGTTTAGTTCATATTTTCTGTTTTTGTGATGTTTAAAATCTTCCTCTGATTATTTGATGATCATGGATGTGAAACATTGTGAACAAGCATCAGACATGAGAACCGGGTCTGTGTGCTTGTGGTGCTAACGTCTGTTTTCACTTTGCCGGGGAAACAATACCTGACTGAGTCGGTTTCAGGTTTGACTCAAAGTTTTGCTCACGTCATTCAGAGACGAAGAGCCGCTCTGAGGTTTCACACCTGATGCTGCTGCAGTGGGTCTCTGCTCTTTGTCCTGGGACGGTTTCGAGCAGAAGAGGCAGGGCTGCTGCTGCAGGCCTCATAAATGCTCTGCTGCTTTAAAAGCTGCAGCAAAGAGAGGCTTTTCCTCTCAGATCTCCACTTGGTTTGGTTTGTTTCTTAGGTTTTGTTGGGGTTTGTCTTGCATTTGCTCATTTCTGGTTAGTTATGGGTTTTTGTCATTAACTTATTTTGGTTTCTCATTTCAGGTATTTGTGTCAGTTGTTATTTCTTCAGTATACTTTAATAAATTCATTTTCTCTTAATTTGGTCTCCTTTAATGTTTCCAAACGAGGCTGGAGAAAAAAAACACACCGAAACACGAAGCGTCAAACATCTGGAGAAACAACCAGCTGCTGTCAGAGACAATCATCACTTCACTCAACAGACTCCATGAAACATGGATGGATCCGAGAAGAAACAGGAAGCAGAAATTACAACCATAAAATATTAAGTAGATTGAAAATATGACAGAAACTTCCTCATCTGACCAACATGGATTCAGACGCTTCAGATTCACGTCTGAATCTGAGGATCATTTCCTGCAGCTTCATCTGGCTGCATTTTGGTGAAATAATTATAACATAATTTCATTTCACCACATTAAGTCAGATATCAGAGAGAAAAACCAAAAGCTGTGAATGTGTGAACATGAAGGCCAGGAGGTTCCTGACACTCTGGTTGAAGTTCAGACCACTGCGCTGCAAATGTGATGAACTGAAACTAACACTGTGAAAGTCAAATTAAAGCAGCAGATTCAGCAGATCTGCAACAGAAATTCATGTATTCATGTTAATCTGAAGCTTCTGCCTTCATCTCAGCTCAGTTCCTCCATCCTGACCAGCTGCTGGGATCTGATTATTTCTGTTTTCCATCTTTTAATCTTCCTGCTTCCACAGGTTAAATAACCGGCATAACAACCTTTATGCAAATATAATATCTCTAAGCAAATCAGGAGCCTGCTAAACAGGTTAAAGTTTCAACATGTGACTCTGATGGTTATTAATAACGTCTCTGTTTATGGTTTATTTGTATATTTCCAGTCTGGCTCCAGCTGGTTCTGCTCAGCAAACACTGAGCTCTGCTTCTCTCTTTACCTCCAACCGACGTCCAGAAACGAAGGAGGAACTCTCCTTTAACCACCAGCTAAAGAGCAACGAATCTCTGAGCAAACAGGAAGCCGTTTGTTCTGCAAAACCTTTGGAGAAATGCAAATCTAACATTTTGTGGTCTTTGACATTAATATATTCTGAAATATTTAAATAATTAGAAACTACAGCTGACAAAGCAACTTCATCTGTGTCCAGTCAAATCAGCAAATTCAAAATATGTTTATGAGTCAAAGCCATGATCTGCAGCAATAAAACTGGAAGCAGTCAGAAAAGGTTTCATAAGGTGAAGTAGTGATGGTGGCCAGAGGTGGAGAGCAGATTCAGGAACCGGTTATCCAAGAGGAACAAACAACGGAGAGACGGCCGGATCTTTAGATTCTGCAGAACCGATGAACAATGGACCGGACTGGTGCTGATTATAAAACCAGACGCAGCTGAGAGGGCAGAGGAAGAGAGACACAAATGAACTAAACAAATGAACTGAAACAAATGAACTAAAACAAATGAACTGAAACAAATGAACTAAAACAATGAACTGAAACAAGCTAAAGAAGAATAATGAGCCAAAATACAAATAATTGAACAAAATAAATGCAGAAAAAAAAAAACTATCCTTTTTTTCTCTTATCCAGCAGTTTCAACTATAATCGTCTGTTTTGTGCTGAATTTGATTGTTTTGGTGGTTTAGTTCAATAAAGAAGTCGAGGACGGGTCACTCTGACCTCACAGCTTCACTGACAACAGAATCCATGATGACTTTGGAAATGAAAGCATGAGAAACTCAGCTATAAAAGCTGCTTGTCTTCCTGCTCTTGTTTCATCATGTTTAGTTTCTAGGTGTTGATCTGCTGCACATCAGAAAGTCTGATTTCTGCAGATCAGGTTCAGATCTTCCAGCTTTTCTTTGCTCATATTCTGCAGAACGTTCTTCTGATCTGGTCTGTTTTTATCTCATTAAGCAGGTCACATGGTTTCTAGCTACTTCCTGTAATGCAGAGTTTTTCCAGCCTTTTGTTGTTGCAATAAAAGCTGTAGTTCTAAAGTTACTGCCCTGCAGACACGGGGCCTTCATGAAGCCATTACTGTTGCAGACTGGAGGAGGTTTTGTTTCTGGGGCAGAGAAGCAGGAAGTCCAGCCACAAACATTAAACAGGAAGAATTAGACTGTCTAATTCTGCTGGACTCTACCTGAATACGTCTTTGTTCACCAGATGCTGTGAGTTTTGATGCCACACAGTAAAATCAGTTGTGCATGTGAGGGTTTACGTCATGATTACATGTTTGGTTCAGCGACTCAGGAAGAGTCAGACTGAGGCGCTGAAGAGAAAAACAGCAGCTGACAGACGAACGAATGCTGCAAATCTCCGATCGACCCGAGTTTACCCGACTGCCAGGTGGGAAAACAGATACTGGACCAAGAGCACATCCAGGAGGAACGCCTGAAATTCACCTTTATACTTCACTCCTCTTTCATGAAACCAAAACATTCAGACTGCAGGTCGGATCATGTTTCTGCCTCCTGACGTCTCAAACATGTGACTGCAGCTTTCAGACATGTAGACACACATCTGCTCAGGTATTCATGCCAATGTGTGCATCAACAAAAGCCCCTGTTGCATTGTGGTTGTGGTTGGGTCTGCAAACATCTGAGGTTTTTCACGGTTCTGAGAACTAGAGCAGATTATGAGGAAAGAAAGATTCAAACAACTGAAAATACTGGACATGAGAAACGACCCGGTCTGAACGTCTGCAGCCCGCTCACCGAAACCCCATGCTGTCCTTCTGCTGGGCCAGACATCAAATCACTAACCTCATAACATTATGACCACCATCGGCTAGTTTATTACCTCTGAATATATTTATATATGTTTGCTACACAATAGCATCGTCTTGTTGGTCGTATCTTTAGATTCTGCAGATCTGAACCCAGTCCAGTCACAGCTGGTGTTGCTCCAGTTGCTCCAAGGCAGCATCACCACAGCAGAGCATTCACTGACTGGTTCCCTCAACAAACGGTCCAGTCAGACTGGTCCCAATTCTGAGTCAGAAACAACCAATCAGAGCCAGAAGGAGGGCTTAATGCTGTCAATAACCCTCATGTTCACACTGCTAAATGTCCTGATGCATCAGAAATAGGTCAGTGTTACAGTAAAACCGTTTATCCACCATCATCTGTGGCCATGCTAACTAGCATTAGCATTCACGGCTGAATGGAGGAGGACTGGTCACAGATTTCCTGCCACATGGTGATGATTTATGAAATATGTAAGAAACATATTCCATTTTAAATATTGCATGCTGCAGCTTTAAGGAGAAACTGGAAGTGAAACTTTCTGCTCTTCAGTTGTTCTGTTTTTATGACAGATAAAATTTACAAGGCAAAGCAGATATTTGCATGTCGTATTTGAATCTTTGCATCAGTTAAACCAGCAGAAACAGGGTGGAGACGTTTTACACATCATAAGTTCTATCACTTCTTTCCTTTGGGCAGTTTGAATATACTTAGTTTAGAGCCAAATCTGTAAATTATATTTATAATTCTTTAGAATACTTTGGTAACTTTTAAACCTTCCGTTAAGTTAAACGTTATGAACCGGCTGTGATGACAGGAGGTTTTAGAAAATCATTTTGTGAGTATTTTTGGAACATGAAAATGTCAGATTAACTTTTGTTTTCAGCTGTAAGATCCCTGAGATTTTTGTTTTGTCTATATTGTTGTAAAAATCTGAAGCTTTCAAACAAT